AGCAGAATGCTGTCACAGTTCAGTAAGCCTCACCTCCGAACCACTTTGTAGGGATTTCTCCATTCCTTATAGACTGCTTATCCTTGTCAAGGTCAACACTTGTCGCTAGCTGAAAACACATTAATTAGTAGTGGAATGCCTCAGTATGACCGAATTGGACACAACCCTTTAGATGGGTGGAATTGTTTGTTCCGTCGTTACAGTGGAAAACGCTCTGTATGAAGGTGCGATCGCTTGGGAGGAATCAGTTCTCATTGATGGGAAAGAGGAGGAGCGCCAATCAGGAAAGCTCGTTCCAAGTGACTCCGCCCATGTGGTCAGCGTGAGGTGTGCCTTTGAATCACGGTAGCCCCACCCTTGAGTATTCCTGCACCTCCTCCCCGCCACCAATCAGCTATTTCTCAATAGAAGATATTTTTGTTAATCTTCATACTACCAACGGATTATAACTCCAACTACGACATACTTCCAAGAGAGTCATTCCCAGGCTGTAAACGTCAGCTGCGGTTGTCGGAGGGTTGTTGAGAATTTCCGGGGCCATGTAGTACTTGTCACCTTCTTCAGCCGAATCCATCGAATCCTGTAACAACTTTTGATTTCCAATTCTTTCAAAGGGTTAGGCAAAATTCGAAGTGAACTGGAGGGATACGGGAGATTTTGCACCTAGAATCAAATCCAGTTCGAAAAAAGCACAGCCTGTAAGGAAACTAATTGTGACCTACCTGGTTCAGGTCGAATGCTAAGCCAAAATCGCCTAACTTACATGAACTACCTTCAGATGAGATGAAGATGTTCGACGGTTTGACATCCAAGTGAAGGATACCCATCGAGTGCATGTGGTTGATTGCCTAAATGAATAGCACTTAGGAAGGTAAGTGTTAAGAGCTTCAGGAGTAGATGGGAGAGGTAGGGTTGAGAACGAATCCCTCGATTGCCATCCATTGAGTAAAATAACAGTAAAGAACATATAACCAATGATAATCACGCCAAAAATATGTAGGAATTATGGGCATCCGATGCAAATTCCAGGCAACCGGCTTATCAGATGCTCGTTAACCGACGCTTTCTTCCCGCAGCATTGCCCCAATCACGGTTTGTGATCTACTTCAGAACAGCCCACCCATATCACCACTGCCAGCCCTCTTTAAACACGTACTTATACAAGTACACCTACTTCAAAAGTAGTCTTCATACGGGACGAGCAATTAACCGCTGTCCCTTTCTCGTTGGTGCAGCCCTTCTGAAAGATAGGAGCGGGAATGAGGGATGCACACTGGTTCTGGTTCAGTTGCTGTTGCTGTCTCCGTTCATACGGCTCCCATAGGACTAGCGTGAGCTATACTTTGAGTTTCTTCGGTCAAATTGGGTTTATAGTAATGGTGCTAACTTCTCACCTGAAGCATACTCAGCAAAACTGCAAAAAGCTCATTTTCTTCAAGGATGCCAAAGCAGCGTCGATAGTCGGCCAGGCTAGATCCACACAGTTCTGTTTGGATGTAGAGTCGACCTCTGAAACTTGGGTGTCATTTGTGTGTTCTAAAAGGAAAACTATATACTGGATGTGCCAGAAAACTCAAGTTTTGGCGAACGCTGCATTTCATAGCTAACTAGAATACTGGGTTTACTGGCGTTACCCGTCAAGTCAAGAAAGGTCCTGATTGTGATGCTGCTCTAAAACTACTCGGGTCTTCTGGTTGAGACCCCTGCGAGATAGGTCTCTATCCCACCAGACTCCAACTTCAGTCTACTTCGCCGCAGTGATTAAAGCAGGCCTTGAAGAAAATTTGGCTCGTAATCCGCCTTTCGGACGGAATGAAACTCCTGTCCGGAAATTATTAATAACAAGCTGAGAATATAGCATTTCGTTGCTATAGGCGATTTTCGAGCTCACTATCTGGGAAGATCGTGGATCCGTCTTGAACAAATTCACCGTTCCCCTGTGAGTTGAAAGGACGTCTGCTATAAAGATGTGAAGAGGAAGAGGACAGCAAAGGGTAACTAGTTGTCCAATGTAAGAACCTCTGGTACTATCACAGGATTCTACAGTATTTTCTATGCGGACGCTAGGGCGTATCAGAAGGCTGGGTTTGGCGCAAAAGCAGCCAGTTTCCCACCAATTTACTCCCGAGAAATCATATCATTATAAATATATTACCTCTCCTCCCATGCCTTCACGAATCCGACAAGGTTTGGATGTGCAGGAATTGACTCGTGCACTAGAGCTTCATGCAACTTTTGCCGACGATTTCCAGAGCTTTCAAATGTATAAAGAGCTCTTTTAATAGCATATCGTTTGCCATCTTCCAGATTTTCTACTTCAAGGGCCTGAAACGAAGTTCGTTGAAGAATTCTTCTGGACCTCCGATTTTCTACCCAAATAAACACCTACCTCTCCGAATACGCCCTTTCCTAGTTGACGTACAATCTTGAAGCATTGTTCGAAATACGTTTGGGTCTTGGAGTACTGGTAGATCGAACTGCTTTTCTCAACTGAAACGCTGGATATTACGCATTATAAAGCAACATTATAAAACAATTACAATAAGGTTCAACAAACATACTCTGAAAAGCAAAACGATACAATGACAAGTGCAAGTGAGCGTTACTTCCCCATTCTCTTATTACCCCTATTCCTGGAGTATCAGGACAATCTGGAAATCATCCCATGTTGATTAACCCCATGTTACCTATGTAAACCTGCAGACATGGAATATAAGAAGAGATATTCGCCTAGGAAGTCTGTGTATGTTGTAGTGATGATAGCTCATTAGCCGTGCAAAAGTGGGCCTAGCTGGCATGTAAGTAAATAAGTAGTGTAAGTTCACCAAAACTACCAAAATTTTGTGCTGGTAATCACTTACTGTAATCAAGAGGTTTATCAGTGGCGGTAACAAGTCGCGGTCTCATTACTGGGAATCCTGGTGGATAGATGCCTAACGATTTCTTCGTGTATCCTCGTCAATTGCGGTAGCTGAGGAATATAGGCTTGATGCTTCTAAACAAATCATTATTTCAGATCATTCGTGACTACTTACTGATCACTTGAATTAGATATGGCTTTTATTAACTACTTCAATTTTGACCCTGTTTTTTTGTATTGTGAATTCAAACTGTCCGCTAGCTCTATGCCACTCTTGCAGATGAACAGGAATTAATTGTAATTACTCCAATAACAAAACGGCGTTCAATGATGGCAGAAAAAACATTTTTTTGAATGGGCTCTGTTTAAGCTTGGAAGAGACATCTTGCAATTTCCTCAAATCCTTTTTTAATCCATGGAGGTAACATGTCTCAATTCGGAAATGCTTCTAAACATCATTAGTGAGCTGCGAAAACTGCGGCGTGTACCCATTTCGCTCCAACACTTTCAAGAGATGTTTCAGAAGATGGGCCCGCACAAGCCCACTGGGTAGCACTCGCCACCGAAGTAGAACTGCGGGCTCTAGAAAATGTGAGCCGAGAAAATGTGTTGCCGCGCAGTACCGAAAATTGAAAATACGAACATATGTAAAATTTCAAAATATCCTAGCAAGAAATCAGTTGAGGGCTGAAGCTATGTGCTTTCTTATCATTGTATGGAACTGTACTGTCCGTGGTTTACTAGTTCTGAGTGCGTGTTCCAAGCTGACCATGCCGAGAGCAGTCACTTGATAGAAGAAGCGTTCCTCATTGGTGCGTTCCTCTTTTGTGCAAGCTTAGTAGGAGCAGCAAACCAATCAGAGAAATGCAGTGGCCTGACTGACTCCGCCCAACAATCAGCGTGAGGTATGATTACAAAGATAACGTCTCACAATTCGTTGTTGATAAAGAGTGTTCCAAAGAGAAAAGGTATTGATACCCTCGGAAAGCAAGGAAAATTCCACATTAAGAGATTCAGCCTGATAAACCGAAAACGATTTTGACAGAAAACTCATTGAAAATTGTTTTGGGCTCACCTCCGACCTGACTGGTGAATGGCAGATAATTCTCGCATGAGATGGAAGCGGCGACTCCAACAACATCTGGGAAAGTGAATGAATTGGTACTTTTTGCGATTACTAGGTGAGCACGACGAAAACTTACCGTAATTTATCTAGACGTTGATTAGGCGTTCTGTCCATGGTACGAGCGTTTTATAGTATTCGTTGTTAGATCCAGGGCACCTAGTGACAGCCTCGTTTACTCTTGGCATTAATCCCAGTGCCCATATGCTTGGGGAAGACAGCCATCTTGGGAACGCCGGCTAACCGTCGCTTGCGGCATTTCCCGCCTCACTGCTGGATCATGATCTTGCCTATGGGATTTGGCTCCACTTTCATATCCATACATGCTCGTGAGAGAATATGTCAACTGATAAGCTGATAGATTCCATAGCAACTAGCAAGGAAGGTTCAAGGAGCTTATCTTCCCTGATCTGGGTCACTGGACCGTCCACTAAAAAGGGATTCACAAAACGCGTCTCCATTCTAATCAAAAACCCGGCGCCAAATACCTCAGTTTTCAAGAGGAGACTTGAAGGAAGTTGACATACTGACTATGGTGGGCATTCAGGATTTTTAAAAGTTTAGGGTCTGGAGGGTCCCCGGCTTGTGGTATTTTTGTTGCCAAATTTGTTGTGTTCTCGTTGCTTTTCCTTTGTATTGCTTTGTTTTGTAACCCAAGTTTCGCTCATATTGTAGCGCACCTGTGCGTGCATATAAATAAATAAATAAATAAATAAATAAATAAAAACTCGAAGCAAAACGGTCTACACGAACATTCGCCATATGATTTGGAAGTCCTGGTGAGCTTTTTCTTCAGTAACCTGCGTGGTTTTCTCTGTCCCCTTGTCTTCAAGTATACCTGCCTCGCTTTTTGCGAGTAGTTTCCATTACGGACGATTGTCAGTCATTTTGTACAGGAGCTGCTCTCATTCACGTTTTAACGGTGGTCGCAAAGGTGGAGCCGATCTAAATATTGCACCTCCCCATAGGTGTTTCCCGTTGTAAAGAAGAGGGAAGCACCAATGGAGAACGTGTAACGGTAAGCCTGGCTCTGCCTAAACGGAATGGGTAAAATGTTCCTTCAACGTTGCGTCGTAAAATCATGGCAGTGTCAGTGCTTGCTTACAGTACCGTTCTGTCCTGCTCATATTGAAATATTTTCTGATCCAAGATTCTCATTTCAACTGATGAGACTTGAAGGAAGAGGTTGTTCCGGATGACGAGCCCTGATGATTCAAAAGACATATCATTGGTTGATGAAATACAGCAGAGGTGTTGCATCTGGCTGCAGGAAAGAGCGCCTCGTATTTGTCCTGACGGAAAAATTTTCTTATTGCACTTATTTATTTAGGTTCTTCCCGTTTAATGTGGTTGCTTAATTGGAAAAATTGGTGAAGTGGCGGCAAGGTTGTGGGAGGGGGAGGAGGGACGTGCCGGCACGAGGAAGAAAGCGGGTGAGGTGCAAAGATTCGGCACAAGATAATGATGGCTCTGGTTTGACTGATAGTTTGATAATAGTAGTTTTCTATTGAGACGGACATAGGTGGAGTGTAACCGCAGCCAGTACCACGGAGAAATCATTGAGGTCTTGAGAGGAACTCAACATCTGAGCGAGGTCGTGTGCGAGAGACAAAGGTATTGTCCCACCATTTTCTGTTTTTTATCGGTCCCAGAGAACAAGAAAGACTTGAAAAATGGCATGTTCAAGTTGTAATTTGTTCTGCCAGAGAGGTTGGTAGGTGGAAGACTTTATTATAAATGGCCTGACGTTTCGACAAGATCGTCGTCCTCAGAGGCCACTCCACCACATGAGCGGAACGATGCCACTCGGTGTCAGTTGTCAGTTAGTAAGTGAAAATTGGCGTTTGGAGGAGCGCACATCATTCTTGTGCGAACCCCGTAAGGGTATGGTATGTGACTTCAGAAATGATTGTTTTCTGATTGCTGAACTTTCTCTGTGAACGCGCTCTGTTCTTCCGTTCAACGGGCAGACCTCAGGAAACATCGGGCTAGGTGATAGGCTGTGAAAGTGGTTGTACCAGAGCCCTCCTATAGGGAAGGTCGTAGTAGCTGCGTCATTCCACATACCACGATGGCCTGGCCTGGTGAGCCTGAAGCCCTCTCAGAACCCCGCTGGGTTTTATATTCGCTTCCCATAAAGTTATACAGAGTCAAGGGATTTATATGGTTTTGGAAGTATTTTTTGGAGCACTACAGCGTTGAACTCATTGGCTTTGCCTTCCTCAGCTCTTTATTCTTCCCTAGTTTCACTTGTCTCTAGAAGAATGGAGAGATCGGCTGGTCCGAGCGCTAATTGATGGCCAGTAGCCTGTTAAAGTCCATTTTCCCTCATCCAACCATCTACCTGGGTGCATGACTATATTACAGTACCTTTGTGTTACTAGTTGCCCCTTTCGATGTTGCCCAAGTGGAACTAGTACCAATTGCGATTTGCAACATAATTTTCAAATTTCCGTTATAACTATCTTGTCGTAATTCCCTGATGGCTGATTATTTCAAGGATCACAAATTGCTGGCAATGTGTACTTGTCTTTATTTCTATTCATAACCAGATACCTTTCTAAATTTATCTGAAAAATATTGCAATATTACAAAATCAAGACTTTCAATGCGTCTCACAGGGAGGCTTTCCTTTCTGGCATCTTTACCGCAACTATTCAATGACAGACGGAATCCTCATAATAGGCTTGTTTCCGTGGTGACACCCAACGAGAACCTCTAGGGGTGGCGGCGACTGGGGGCATTTTGTACTATCATTGCTTCCTTAGTTCCGGTTTACATGTCTCACTCTGGCGAAACCTGTGAACTCTTGTGAAGCTGGAACAAGGTCGTCAAGCCATCATGTTAAAACCTGTCAACTCGAGAAGAGGCTGTCTAGATAGGCCGACACGTCGATGGGAAGTAGCAAAGTGCAAAATGCCCCCCCCCCTCCGTCGGCATACTGCGCCGATTGCAAGTACTGAATCATGATTATGCATTGCGAACTCTTAACGGAGACTGCACACTCACCTCCGCCGATCCTGGTACTTGCCATGATGAGGCGAATGGTCCGCAGCTGCAGCAGGGTACCTCTTTCTCCTCTCAAAAGCGCACAGGAAGGGGCTGAAGGCTAGTAATGCCCGGGTGCTGTCTATAGTTCTCTGCTCGCTGCCGCACGCCCAGCCACGCACCTATCAATAGCCAATCGCGCCACTTGTTCAAATCTCACTTCTTGAGGTTCTCTTCTTCTGACTCGATGATCGCTG